TTTGAGTTATGTTCACAACCTCTGGTATGATATAACCTTCGAGAGGCACTTCCACACCACTGATGGGAATCAATGCGTAAGCTATTGGTTAAGACATAAACTCAATCAAAACACGACTCGAGTATGGTTTGCATTGCAATGACATACCAGTAATGTTAGAGCCATTGGTGTTGACAATCTTGTGAGTGGACTGTTCGTTAAGAATAGTGAAATTGTTTGGCAGATAGGGCTCGTTGTGCGACAGCTTTGAGCCCCAGAGGGACGTGAGGAGAGCCGCCGCCTCGTTGTCGTTCATCACTGTATAGTCTTGACTCCCATTTATCGCACCATTTGTCTCACTGTTGGCTAAATTCTTGGCATTCATTGTGTTATTGCTATTATTGGTAATAATTGACTGATAATTGTTTAATGAGTTGTCCAACTCTTCCACTCTCTTGTCGTGTCGATGCAAATGACTCTTCAGACTGTATTGAGTGGTGAATGACTTTTGGCAGCCATTCTGATGGCAAGAGTAGGGCCGCTCACCCGTATGGGTGCGCACGTGTGTCTTCAGGTGATGACTGGCGGCGAAGGCCTTCCCGCAGCCGTTCTCAGCGCAGGCGTAGGGCTTCTCTCCCGTATGAGTGCGCGAATGCTTCCGCAGATCACTCAAAGTGGTGAAGAACTTAAGACAACCAAATTGTTTGCAGTTAAATGTGTTGCCGTTGTGTAACCTCTGGTGCGCTTTCAGTCTGTATAGTGTGTTGAATGCCTTATCGCAGCCACTGATGGGACACCCGAACGGCTTCTCTTTGGTGTGGACTCTGACGTGAATCTTAAGACTATAGGACGTGAGGAAGGCTTTGCCGCAGCCGTCCTGCGAGCACACGAACGTATACTCTCCGGTGTGGGTCTTCTGATGGGTCTTCAGATTGCCGGCCGTACTGTAAGTTCGCGCGCAGCCCTCGTATGTACAGCGGAACCGCTTGATCTCTTTCATACCCGACGCCTCGTTGCGACTCTCGATGGTCAGTGTCAGGTGCGTCGGGTTGCGCGGCATCGGACTGTTGCCCGGATTGATGTGCATTGTTATCGAGTCTTGAGATATCGTGTGATGAATGTAACTGTCAAACGAGACATCCATTAGTGGATCAAATGCATCGGTGATGTCTGTGGCGTACAATACCTGTCATTTTGCTGTTCATGTATGATATACTCGAAGGGGACGTCACACCCGATGGAGTCGTTGCGGTCGTCGTCCTCTTCGCCGTCGGACCCGTTGTGGTTCGCGTTGTCGTCGCGGCGATCGTCGTCCTCGTCGTCGTCGCGCCGATTGTCCCCCAATTCGTATCCATTGCCGAACTCGTGTCCACTCGAGTTGATATGATTGCTATCGAAGACCAATTGATCCAAACTGTCGATCGATCGGTCGTCGAAGAAGTCCTGAAACGAGACTCCATTGGCGTCGGCGACGGCCGTCGCGAACAGCGATTGATTCACTTCCAGACCATTGCTCTCCATTAGTGGCCGATTCAGTCCACCATCTGATCTGTGGTCGCGTTTTGGCACTCAATTCAAAGACACCACTCAAAGAGATTTGTCGCTAATTATTGTTATCAACGCTTGTGTTGTGTATTGTCTCTCAAAATACGAGTAAACAATTCAGTCATTCATTCATTTGTTTGACTTTTACTGCAAAACCAAAAGTGAAAGTGATTTTCATATTGTGTTTTACACATCCATTCAACACATCGTTATCATCGCATTCACTGTCCGCTCGAGTATACCGACTGCTATTCAGTGCCCCTTTAGTACGAATGTGCGCTTCACTGCACACAACAACGATTGCTGCGATTGAATGCAATTTTATGCCACGCAGTGAAGCCATTAAAACGTTGTAATAATCACTGAAAATAGTGTCGCAAAAACATTGCATTTGATTACAACTGTTGTGAGCGTTAAAAGTGTGTGAATTACGTCCGGATTTGTGACAAACTTTATATAAGCGTTAGTTATGTATAGAAAATGGCCGTAATTTTGGTCCCTTTTTATACAAATATTTTGCATTGAAAATACATATGAATTGAATTATATATAAAAGTGTGTGATATTCGGTGTGAAAGCATAGCTGGACTGCAAAACGTGTGACAATAGATGCGTGTGTTTTGTGTTTTAATTGAGTGGCAAAACAACAGACAATTTGTTTGATTCAAAGAGTGGTTTGCAGTCAAAGACATCACCGAAAAGATGATGAAAATAGAAGAAGTGAAGAATGTGTCGAAAAGTCAACGCATATCAGCTCACAGTCACGTCAAGGGTCTCGGTCTGGACGAGTCGGGCGCTGCCATCGCCGTCGCCGCCGGTCTCGTCGGACAACAGCCCGCGAGAGAGGTATACACTTGTCTTCGCACGTGTTTGTCACATGCTTTTTGGCCATTAATTGATTGACTAATTGATTGATTGGTTTGATTGTCTGAAAGGCTGCGGGAATTGTCGTAGAGTTAATCAAATTGAAACGAATGGCCGGAAGAGCGGCGCTGTTCGCGGGCCCGCCCGGCACCGGCAAGACTGCCATCGCTTTGGCCATCGCTCAAGAACTGGGCTCTAAAGTGCCCTTTTGTCCAATGGTTGCCTCAGAGGTGTACTCCACGGAAGTGAAGAAGACTGAGGTATTGATGGAGAACTTCAGGCGTGCGATCGGTCTTCGCATCAAAGAAGTGAAGGAAGTATATGAGGGAGAAGTGACTGAAATGACGCCCACAGAGACCGAGAATCCGTTGGGCGGTTACGGGAAGACAATCAGTCACATCATAATCGGTCTGAAGACCGCCAAAGGCACGAAACAACTCAAACTCGATCCCAGTATTTACGAGAGCCTCCAGAAGGAGAGGGTGGAAGTGGGAGACGTGATCTATATCGAGGCCAACAGCGGTTCGGTCAAAAGGCAGGGCCGGTCCGACGCTTACGCCACCGAATACGACTTGGAGGCCGAAGAGTACGTTCCCATCCCTAAGGGCGACGTTCACAAGAAGAAGGAAGTGGTTCAGGACGTGACTCTTCACGACTTGGACGCGGCCAACGCTCGACCGCAAGGCGGACAGGATATCCTCTCAATGATGGGACAGCTTCTGAAGCCAAGAAAGACCGAAATCACCGACAAATTGCGCAAAGAGATCAATAAAGTGGTCAATAAATATATAGATCAGGGAATCGCCGAATTGGTGACCGGCGTTCTCTTCATAGACGAGGTCCATATGTTGGACATCGAGTGCTTCACGTATTTGCATCGGGCGCTGGAGTCGGACATCGCGCCCATCGTTATATTTGCCTCCAATCGCGGCCGTTGTATAGTGAGGGGCACTGAAGACATATATTCGCCGCACGGCATACCACTCGACCTCTTGGACAGACTTATGATCGTAAAGACTATACCGTATAATACGCAAGAAATGCTTCAGGTATTAGCGGCCGTTGTATAGTGAGGGGCACTGAAGACATATATTCGCCGCACGGCATACCACTCGACCTCTTGGACAGACTTATGATCGTAAAGACTATACCGTATAATACGCAAGAAATGCTTCAGGTATTGGACTTCTATAACCAAGTGTTGTAATTGTGACTAAATTTTGTACACCTTTTTTGGGACAGATTTTAAAAATCAGAGCCCAAACCGAAGGCATATTCATCGACGACGAAGCGCTGCTACACCTGTCGGAGATCGGCTCTAAGACAACGCTGCGGTACGCCGTGCAGCTGCTCAACCCGGCCATGCAATTGGCCAGAGTTAACCAGAGCTCGACCATCGATCTCAAAGTACTCAAGGAAGTGAACGAACTCTTCTTCGACGCCAAACAATCGGCTAAAATACTGGCGCAACAAAGCGCTAAATACATGAAATAGTTCAACCAATCATTCAATTAATTTCGATCATAATTAACCAAAATAAACATCAATACTATTTTCCATTCATATCCTGTATTATCCAACTCTTGAAACAATTATAAATAAAAAGCAAATTATATTTTCGTTTTTTAAATTAATTTATTTATTCGTAGCGGCCGTTGTATAGTGAGGGGCACTGAAGACATATATTCACCGCACGGCATACCACTCGACCTCTTGGACAGACTTATGATCGTAAAGACTATACCGTATAATACGCAAGAAATGCTTCAGGTATTTGACTTCTATAACCAAGTGTTGTAATTGTGACTAAATTTTGTACACATTTTTTGCGACAGATTTTAAAAATCAGAGCCCAAACCGAAGGCATATTCATCGACGACGAAGCGCTGCTACACCTGTCGGAGATCGGCTCTAAGACGACGCTGCGGTACGCCGTGCAGCTGCTGAACCCGGCCATGCAATTGGCTAGAGTTAACCAGAGCTCGACCATCGATCTCAAAGTACTCAAGGAAGTGAACGAACTCTTCTTCGACGCCAAACAATCGGCTAAAATATTGGCGCAACAAAGCGCTAAATACATGAAATAGTTTACCAATCATTCAATTAATTTCTATCATAATTAACCAAAATAAACATCAATACTATTTTCCATTCATATCCTGTATTATCCAACTCTTGAAACAATTATAAATAAAAAGCAAATTATATTTTCGTTTTTTAAATTAATTTATTTATTCGTTTTAATCCTTTATAATTAAAATATTTTGTATGAGAAATGAAAAATGCTTTTATATTGTTATGTAAATTAAATTGCTTTTCGATTTTCATTTAATTAATAATCTCGTGATTTCATCGATGGGTCTAAAAGCACGGGTTTATGAGAGCAAAGTACTCATACCTCCCATTTCGCTCTGTTCTTTCACGAAGATCTCGAAGTATTGATAGATTATAGTGACGGCCAACAGAATACCCGTTCCGCTACCGATCGCACCCAAGAAGTCGGCCAACACTGACAGCGCGCCGATGCAGAGACCGCCGAACGCCGCGGCCGTCGGGATGTAACGGTTCAACTCGTGGATCATCGACTTCTCCCGATGTCCTCTCATTACCATTTGCTGTTCTTTCAGTTGTTTTGCGACCTTTTCATCGAGAGATGGAAATTACAAATTCATTAATTAATATAACGAACAAATGTTGGACTCAATTGACTCACGTCTTTAGCCGAAGAGCCCGAGACCTCAATCCAGGTCTTGGAGAAGAAAGCGCACGAACCCAACATAAACACGATATATAAGACTGCGTGGACCGGATCCTCCGCTATATGGCCGAGCGTTTCGGGTGGCGAGAGGTAATAGCAAAGGCCACCTATAGGGTAGGCTCTGGCCGGACCGCCTCCGCCAACGTCGGCCCAAACACCCAATAGGTTCACCAAAAAGTTTCCACTAAACTTTACGGCCAACATCTGGTCAACAAATAAAGAGTTCAATTAGTTTAACCCCGAGTGGGACTCAATTGAGACCGCAATCAAATGAGCCAATCATTACCTGAGAGATGACATACAAATTGGAGACGAGCGCCGACTGAAGAATGATAGGAATGTTTGACGTGTAAAACAATTTAATGGGATAAGAGCTATACTGTCCCCTATAACGGGCCGACTTGATGGGCAGATCCACTCGGAAGCCCTGGAAGTATATGACAATCGCAAACACTAGAATTGTGGCCAAAAGGTTCATCAGATTCGGCAAATTCTGTCGATAGAACGCTTCGCGAAGACCGCGAATCTTGTCCTGACGGGTGGCCAAGAGGTGGAACAGAGCGATGATAGCGCCCTCGAACTCCGTGCCTCTGCCGGTGTTGACAGTGGCCGGACTGAACGCTTTCCAAACGATTGTCTCGCAGATATTGGTGGCGATAAACAGGGATATACCGGAGCCCAAGCCGTAGCCCTTCTGCAAGAGCTCGTCCAACAACAACACGATAAGACCGGCGACGAACAGCTGAATGATGATCAACAGACACACACCGGCGCCGATGTCGGCCGGATCGCCGTACATACCGGTCATCACATACACAATCGCCTGACCAACCGTTATAACCATTCCGAACACTATATACGGCCATCAGAGGGACAAACAAACACACAAAAAGCATCGGTGGTTAGTATACGTGGCAAACATTATGGTAGAGACATGTACTGACACTTTTGAGCGCCGTTGAAGAGGGCCCGGTCTTTGGGAGTGTCGCCGACTTCGATGATCTTAGCGCCGGCCAAGAGCTGCATAATCAGACCGGAGGTGACGATCGGCGAAATACCCAATTCCATGAGAGTTCCTCTATTGGACGCCAATATAACTCGCATCCAATAGAAAGGGTCCGCGGAGTCCGAAGACATTATGCCAAACAGTGGGATCTGTTGGACAACACCATCAACTCATGTTAGTTCATCTGCAGGACAAAGACAATGGGATTCAATGGAGACAGACCTGACAGCAGACCAAGAAGATGAAGAGAGTGATGGCCGTCCATAAGACTTTCTCCCGGAACTGGATCTTGCGCTCAGGCTTTGCCACTTCGGGCAAAATACCGCAAAACGGTTTAATCACTTCCAAAAACTTAACTGAGAAAAGAGAGGGGAGAGAGAAATGAGATGACAATCATTAGCATTGGTGGCAGAGTTGGCAAAACAGGTCTTCGCCGACAACTACTTACTCGCCATTTGGTATTATCTATAGTTATTGTGCAAAAAAACTGCACTCAAAATGGTAAAACCAATTGATTAAAATTGGTTACAATGAATAAAACAATTGGTGTTCGGTATTGGGATCAGTTGTGGTGATAGTATGGAGTGGTGTTAAGTGTGTAATATTGTTGACATCACCACTACTAACATGAAATGTGTATCACATAAACGCTAACGTGTTGTGTGAATGCAATACTCGATTCAATACACAGTTGTAGTGAGACTTGCATTCAAAAAGCATAGCGTTTTTCTCCACGTCTCCCAAAATGCACTCACCATAAGGTCATCACATTGTAGTACAGCATAGCATAGGCAGAGCCGCTAAGCCATAGCGTTGCCAACTCCACCGATTCACAGCATACCTGTGCTCTACTTACAGTACAGATAGCACTAACTTATAGCTAGTTTGTTACTTACATGATGTAAGTTACATCCTAGATTTTATTTGTATCATGGTGTGCATTTTGTATATTGTTATTAATTATGCAATTATATACATGGTTGGCTAATTTGTTTGTATTATGTTATGTTTTATTGAATTTTTAATGAGACATTTTTTGGGTAATTTTTGTGGTTAGAAATGATTGCATGAGTTATGCTTTCAAGTTCAAGGATTCTTACCATTTGCACTTTTCTATCTATGATTTATCATCATGATTCCAGAATATTCTTAAATAAACATGCCTTACATTAGTTTTGCTTAATTAAACACGTGTATATTTATTGATGTTAATTTCCTGTTTGCTTGTAATCATTAAATATTATTTATAACTTTTATTCAAGTTTCTGAGCTTTTAAAGTAAATATTTTCAAAACTTTTAAACATAGTATCATAAAGTAATACTTTGCAGTTCATCATGATTGTTAATTTAATTAAATATAAATACTTAATTACGAATGAACAAATGTGCAATGTAATTTTGTTGCCATCTTAACCAGTATCTAGGAACTTTTATAAAATATTGCAATTATTTTAGTAAACAATTTAATTGTAAATTATTATCATTTAAAATTTGTTTATTAAATATGGTTTATTAAATTGTTTATTAGTGTTTGTCAATTGTCTTATTTATAGTATTAATACATATAAAAGTTGTTTAAATCAATTACTTTTAAATAGTATGCAAACGACTTCTCGCATATGAATACAAAATCTCATTAAAAACAATTCGTTTTCAATACTAAATTGAATGGAAAAAATTATTAACAAATATATTAAACGTTATAAATTTGCTAAATATTGAAACAAAATTATAATTCAATAGTAAATATTAATTAGAAATAAAAATAGTCATCAATTTATAGTTAACTAATCAATGATCAGTAATCATAACGATTGAAAATCAACAAAAGGGTAGTTTTGTTTAAAAAAGCATTCGTTTAATCACTCGATGTTTTTATAATTATACAAATAATTGCAATACTAATGGGAATTGTATTTAAATCTGTTGTTGAGTTAACTTAAGTTTAGCCAATCTCTCGATGTCGTCGAGACTGAGTTCATTCACATCTGACTGGAGGTTACGCCTAAACTCGTCCACAATCTTCGCCGCGTCGGCCGTCGTGTAGTACTTCTGCAGCACTTGTGTCAAGTGATTGAGGAACTGATTCTTCTGTGTGTTTGTCAACTCCGACGGCAGCCGTTGTTGTTGTGGTGATGACTGGTTATCAGCGGCGGTGACGGACGACTCGATGGCAAACAAATGGATTTTATTTCCTTCGCTTATGTCGTAATCTTCGAGAGACATGTGGTCTGCGAAACAATGGATGAAATACACGACATGATTATCACCGCCAGAGTTAACAATCAAAATACCTGATAATGTTTTCCCTTTGAAGACTAACTTCTGCTGACAGACCGGTATCTGTAAGTGTTTGGCCACCAATTCCTTCACGTAAATCACTGTCGAGTTGGTCGACACCTGAGGAGGAATAACACACATATCGACAGACAATTAGTGGTCAACACATATCGGCAGTGAAGACAATATCAATAGGTTTTAGTGACAAAAACATTACCTCAATATTACACTCATTTCCGGGGATTTTCTTCACAATGATTAACATATTTACATATGATTTGTGGTATTTATGTATCAAAAAGTGTGTCAACTAAAGCACAACACGTGTGTATTGAATGGCAATTAAACTACAATTAAAACTAACAGTCAATGAATGCGTGAATGTTATTGAAAAACAAACATCATTTCCAATTCATTGTCACTTTAATTCATAGTGAGCTTAATTCACGTCAACAAACATTACGTAAATACTGTGTCTAGTGTTGTGACAAAAGGGTCCGAATGCCCGATAAAAGCTATGGCTTGTATGCCATGCGAGTCAATGACATACAAATCGGTCCCTTTTATGGCTACAAATATTGCATTTTTTGCGGCATAAATACTGGCGTCTAATTAAAACTTTTAACTTTTATTTGTAAAATTTTAATTAATATTTTGCATTATTATTATGGAAATCGATGTAAAACTCTATGTAAAAGTTATTTGTAATAAATAAACATAAAATTAATTCAAAATACATATAGCGAACAAAATCATAAATGTAAAAACAAAACACTTTATTCAGATATTTAAACTTTTTGTCACTAAATTATATGTGAACGTAATCTATGAATGACTCCAAACTAGCCGACAGTCAAACACACATAAGTATGGGCTGAAGAGCGCCGCCTATCGTATAAGTATTAACGTTAAACAGCGGACAACACACCACACGTACGGCAGATGTAATGGTGGGGTGGAGTCTATGGGACTCAAGCATAGGCTACAGCGACAGTACAGCAGACATTTTGCTATTGAATTTTATGCCCACTTTTTATATTGGCTTTCATTGAATGATAATTACTGTAAGCCTTAACTCATTGACCAATAATTGAGTGGTTATTACAAAACAATAATAAACAGCCAAAAGACAAATCAATCTAACGGTAAGTCCAGTCCTATTGGACTCACAATTGTATGAAACAATAGACAACACATTGAGAGCACATGTGTGGGCACAACAACACCGCATATAATGACACTTTTGATTGCATTACTAATTAATAGCGCAAACAATGTGTTTGTCTCATATGTTTTCATCACTTGCTTTTGAGGGCAACAAAAGTTTTTTGGCTCAATATTAATCATATTTTCTTTGATTTCCCATATTTTGCGGTCATTTCGGCGCTCATGTGATGGACTGGCGATGCGGTGACAGACCTGTGATGTGCGGTCAGTGACCATCGGTTTCCCGAAGTTTGTGTCCACCCGTCGTTGTGTTGTGTGTGTGAAGAGTGAAGATGAGTATGTCTTCGCTGATTAAGATGGAGAACAATGACCACGGAGTCGGTGGACAGCAGCAGTCGTCCGCAATCGGCGACTCATTCATCAACAACTCGTCGCAACAGTTTATAGTCCACGCGTCGGACAACACGGATGGCGACGACTCGGCGATGGGGTTGGGCTCACACGACGACCACTCGGACAACGGCGACAAAGACATGGTTGAGCCGCTCCGAGAACAGGACAGGTTTCTGCCCATCGCTAACGTGGCCCGCATTATGAAGGAGGCGATACCCAAGTCGGGCAAAATCGCCAAAGACGCCAAAGAGTGTGTCCAGGAGTGTGTCTCCGAGTTTGTGTCGTTCATTACGTCCGAGGCGTCCGATCGGTGCCATCAGGAGAAACGCAAGACCATCAACGGTGAAGACATACTGTTCGCGATGTCCACACTTGGGTTCGACAACTATGTGGATCCGCTGAAGCTCTATCTCCAGAAGTATCGCGAAGTATGCCATTCGTGTTGATTCTTCCCATTAAATGATACTTTTGTTAACTTTTTTATTCGTGTTTTCATTGTCTGTCATTACTTATTGAATGCAATTTATTAATGAGTTTTGGGTTTTAATAATTGTTATGTCTATCAATGGGTTTAATATATTTATTATTGTAATCTTTTAATTAAGTATATAATGAATTATGAGCTGCCGTTTAGATCTAGATTATGGTAATAACGGTACGATTAGTAATGATATATGAAGTTATTATCGGTGCTATAAATTACTAGTTTAGTTGTTATGTGGGATTTAATTGATTACTACTTTTATTCATATGAATGATTGTTATGCCAGACATTGATTTAATAAACATTACACTTGGAATTGATAAGCGATTTATTAATGATGTGATTGTTTTCGTATGGATTAATAGCAAGCGATGAAAGGAGAAAAAGGTGGCCAACAGTTATCGGAAGGCAATACGATCGACGAGTTGAGCGACGAGTCGTTTGGCGGCCAATCGTTAAACACGACAATACTCACAGACGACGCACAGCATAATGTCATTTACACGACCGCCGCCTTCGGGCCCACACAACAAGTATTTAAACTCAACTAAAACAATGCACACAAAACAAAAACAATTGCCGTTTGATTTGGTGGTGACAGCCATTCAGTGTCCGCGCGTCTGAATTTGACAATTAAAAGCTGCTGTTGTTTTACGGATCAGTTGTTTGTTGCGTGTGTTTACAAATACCCGGCTTACAGTTGTCTTAGTTGTGGCCATCATTTCTCTGTCGCCTCTTCTCTCTTCCCGTTATTGCCTGACTTTTGACTTATTTTTGCACTTTTTTTTGTCGATTTTAATTGTAATTATTTTGTAATTGAATTTAGAGTTATTATTTTGTCTCATTTTTTTCTATAATTTTAATTATCAACTTATTGTTTACCGAAAATTTAATTTTTACAAAAACAACAACAAAACAGAGTTATTGTCATTTTTTAATTATTATTATTATAATTATTACAATTCATGGACAATTTGGCGGCCAATCGTTAAACACGACAATACTCACAGACGACGCACAGCATAATGTCATTTACACGACCGCCGCCTTCGGGCCCACACAACAAGTATTTAAACTCAACTAAAACAATGCACACAAAAACAAAAACAATTGCCGTTTGATTTGGTGGTGACAGCCATTCAGTGGCCGCGCGTCTGAATTTGCAATTAAAAGCTGCTGTTGTTTTACGGATCAGTTGTTTGTTGCGTGTGTTTACAAATACCCGGCTTACAGTTGTTTTAGTTGTGGCCATCATTTCTCTGTCGCCTCTTCTCTCTTCTCGTTATTGCCTGACTTTTGACTTATTTTTGCACTTTTTTTTGTCGATTTTAATTGTAATTATTTTGTAATTGAATTTAGAGTTATTATTTTGTCTCATTTTTTCTATAATTTTAATTATCAACTTATTGTTTACCGAAAATTTAATTTTTACAAAAACAACAACAAAACAGAGTTATTGTCATTTTTTAATTATTATTATTATAATTATTACAATTCATGGACATATTCTCTCATTGATTATAATTACATAGAAAATAATGTTTAAATAAAAGTTTATATTTTCAAGTTTATAAATCGATAGTAACTATCGTTTTACACGGATTTGTGTCTAATTTTCTGCGACAAAGTATTGTACATTCATTTCAATGCTTTTTACATAAAATACAATAGTTGTGAGAATTGAGGCATTTTTCGTGAAAGACATGTTTGCAGTAAAATGCTATCAATTTGTCGCCGCCTTTCTCTCCAGCTTTCGATGACTTTGTCATTAAATGATTGTCACATTTGCCACACTTTTCATTATAGATATTGATCTTAAAGCCGTGACATTGCTGTTGACTATCGCCGTGTCTGTGATGGGCTGCGGCGGCGGCTGCGGAACAATGACTGGCCGACGATTTGACTTTCGACACACTATTCAAATGAGTGATTAGATTATTGAGTTTGTCGCGAGTGTCCGGCGACTGATAGGCCGCTATCATTCTCATCCTTAGTAGCAATAAATAGAAATCAATGGTAAATAATGAGGTCTTGTCTATGAATTTGTGCAATAGCTGTATGGAGTCGTCGACACCAATGGTGTTAATACAGAATTTCATAATCGTTTGCCAATTAATACTTTCGTTACAATCGTTTAGGGATTTATTGCATTCAACGCACCGAACGATACGATCGCTTCCATCGTCTCTTTGCTCCGAAAAGAGTCTCAAAAGTCGTTCAAACTTTTCCGCTGAGAATAAGTAGTTTTGAATGTTTTGCAATAGTTTCACATCATTTAACATTAGACCGTATTTTAAGTATTTATCATATTCTCCGCATTTCAGCATTAGATCCATATATAGGGGCCAAACGGCGCACCGTTTGCTTACGTCCAGCAGATCTATAACTGAATACTCCATCAAATCTGTGTTATCGATGAGAAAACTGGCGATTCTTGTCTGTAGTTCGCATTGATTGAGATGAGAGCCCGGAAGGGGTGAATCGCACTCACATTTATAGCGATGAATTATATTGCCCGTCAATAACTCGCTTTCCATAGTCTCCAGAACTGATTTCACGTATTTCTGTTCGTGAATTGTTCTGTCATTTGATTCACTATTGATTTGATTGTTGTCTTCTTCGACACAATCATCATTTGTATGATTATAACCATTAGTATTATTATTAAGCGCTTGTTTAGTATCCCTGTCTCTAACCTCCAATGAAAGCAGCGGAGGCTCTAAGATCTTCTTCATATCCATTTGATTTGAATTGAATTTTGATAATACAATGTCTTTGAGTTTCTTGAGTTCACCGAACCCTATATCGACCACATCTACGGCTGACGAGTCATTGTAATGGGAATCGCCGTTGAAATATATCATTTCGTTTGAATGCTTGATATAGGGATCGGATGTGTTTGAATCGATTGAACTGAGAAACACTTCTTGACTTTCATCGACCAAAGAGTTATCATCGCTTTCTCCGCCCATACCTGCCATCAACTGTTGGATCGGTTGATACCGTTCCCTATCGCTAGAGCCTAAGTCAGACCAGAGTTTCTCCAGAATCTTATCGATTTTCATATGATTCCTGTTATTGTGATTATTCTTACAATAGTTTTCATTGAAATACTGGAAGTGTTTTATGAGAAGATTCGCTCCGTTTATGGACTCATTGTTCTCAACCAACAGACGAAGACATTGTTCTAACGTGAAGAACGATATTTTGGCAAATTTTAATCTCTTGTCTCCATTCAAGTTATATAATAAATATATATCGCTATCAATGCAATACATATCGTGAATGTGAGACACGTTTACAACACAATGCGATACAATGCAGGCGTTAATTGGATTTATGATATATAGACAAGCGTTGGAACCGTTATTATATGTGACGATAAAACTTCTGTCCAAACAGTCTATATTCATAACACATAGTTTGGCGAATGTGGGCATTGGAGTGGACGCACGCCTACCATCCCTATCGACCATCACATCCTCCTTCTCCTCCTCTGCAATCGTATCGGAGCTCTCGCTTCCGCAGCCAATATCTTGACGATTGACGATCTGTTGTGGCGTTTGATTGATGAGCAACTCTTTGAATATATGAGTGAAACTAACGTTGCCTTTGAGATCGCATTCCCAAAGCCGTGATTTGGGACGCGAACAGAAAATACAATTATAGATATGACTGTCGTTTGCCATCACATACTTGGGAAAGAAACAGACGCCCAACTGATGGCCGTCACTGTTGTTGGCGTTGGACTTAATGGTCCGTTTGCTGCCGATTTGGCTCAACTCACCGGCGCTCACATCGTATAAAATGTATTTACGTTCAGACGATATGACCAGTAAATGGTCGCAAACGTCAAACTGATAGATCGCACCCGTTATCCGCAATATGAGCGACGGTTGCGGCAAAACCATCAAATTTTTCATATCTTTCACATTATGTAAAATAAATATGTGTCCGCTTTCGTCGCATATATACAGCCGATACGAGTAATACGGATCCCATTTGACGAGATTAATACAGTGTTTGGTGAATGTATGGCACTGGTAGGTGATTGTCCATGCTGATTTGTACATTAGCTGCCGGTCGGCATCGATTTCGGCCACTATGAGGTGTCCCCTCGCCGTTGCCATCGCTATGAGGTGTGGGTCGTCGGGCGCGAAGGCAACGGCGCTAATCGGCCCGCAGTTATTGCCATTCAATATAGTGAACAAATATTGGGAACAATTGTTTAGTGTCTGTTTGAAGAGATAGACATTACCGGTTGAGCTCCCGATGGCCACGTATTGGGCACAGGCGTGAAAACTAGTGTATTTCACTCGTTGGCTGTTTTTGATGGGAAAGTAGATGTCGGTTCCCTTATTAGCGTAAAACACAAACGAGTCGTCAATTATTTCATCTGTTATTTGCGCCATATTTTAGACCTAATTATATGCTTATGTTATTTTTGTCAAGTGATTAAACGCAAAACACAAGACTTTTATCAGTCAATCAATTGATTTTCAATGCTATTCCCACTTCTAAAAGCTCTATGTGTTTGCAATGCGTCGACAAATATTTGTTTTATAAAGTTTTTGATATTTGCAAAAACTCACAGATAGTGACAGAAAAAAGTTTTTTT